CACCACAGCATCCTCCACCTCCACCTCCCATCATGCCCTTTGAAGATCCTCCTCCCATTCCACCACCTCCACCTCCACCGCAGCATCCAGAGGATCCTCCACCTCCCATCATGCCCTTTGAGGATCCTCCTCCCATTCCACCACCAGATCCTCCACTGCCTCCCCCTCCAATGATGATCTTCGTTCCTGATCCACCGCCGGATCCTCCTCCCATTCCACCCCCTGATCCTCCTCCACAGCATCCTCCACCTCCACCTCCCATCATGCCCTTTGATCCTGAAGAGCCACCACTGGATCCCCCACCGCAGCATCCAGAGGAGCCTCCCCCTCCTCCTCCTCCTCCTCCTCCACCAGAGCTGATAATGATCTTCTGGCTGCCACCACCGGATCCTCCTCCCATGCCACCACCGGATCCTCCACCGCAGCAGGATCCACCTCCTCCGCCTCCTGAGCCCCCAGAGCAGCAGGAGGAGCCCTGGGACTGGTAGCTGGAGGAGCTGCCCCCACGGCAGCAGCAGCAGCAGCTGTGGCAGCCGCTGGACTGGGAGGACATCCCGTGGCAGCCTCCGGAGCTCTGCCTGGAGCACATCTCAGCAGCCACCCTGCAAGGAACAGCTGTTTACTCGAGGGAAGCCACCACCCCCTCCCCGAGGATTTCCCGCTGCCCACCACCCCCAAAAATGCTTGGCAATGCCCACAACCAGCATTTAAAACCTTTTATCCCAAAGCTGTTCCGTGTCCATCTCTACACTTCAAGGAGCGCGGGATGATCCCGCTTCCCGTCCACGGGAGATCTGAGTCCACCTGCCCTCCTGCCTCCACCCACCAGGAAAACTTCACCAAAGCTTTTTTTCTGGTTTGCAGGGAAGGATGAGGAGAATCTTCTCCACGGGGCAGAACTGGACTTACCCTTCTGGGCTCTCACCACGTTCACCACAGAGCAACGCCGGGCGAGTGAAGCCCCGCCGGATCCACCGGCCTTTATACCGTTTTTTCCAGGTGGGAAGTGAGGCATCCAAAGGAATGGTGATGGGTTTATTTACCCAGCAGTGTCCTCCTTCAGCCCACTTGCCCTGACTCACGGGATCAGGGCGATGCCTCTCCGGTGCATCACTTCCTCGGCCGCGCTGCCCGTCCCACACGTGAGCTCCGCTCCCGAGGTTGGATTCCAAGGTTGGATTCCAAGGTAGGATTCTGGGACTCGGGGTCAGCAGCCTCTGCTCCGACCAGGAGATGCCACTGGGGGTGGTGACCGACAGCAGAAGGGGTTGGTGTTGTGTTACAGGCTAAGGGCACACGGTGGGGTTGTTGGGGCGTCCCGTGCCAGGAGCCGGACTATGATGACCCTCGTGGGTCTCTCCCTGCTCGGGACATCCTCTGATTCCATGATTTCATGATTCCCTGACTATGGAGATGCCTAGGGGAGTGGAGGGGTCTGCACTGGGTGGGATTGATGCTGCTGGGGCATCACAGGAGTCTCACAGGGCTGGGCTTCCCCCCTGCCCCAGCGAAGCGTGGACAGTGACCTCGGTTTGATTCCACCCCTGCGGACAGGGCAGAGGTCAGGCAGGTTTGACACCCCCTCTGACACCTGTTTTGGAAAGGAGTTGAGTGCTGCAGGTTAGGAGGTAGCATTTGTATTAGTATTTTGGGGGATGTTGCCCAAAGAGAGGAATTCCTCCCCATTCTAAGGCAGGATTTAGGAATACGCTGGCTGGGCTCCTGCTCTCACTCTGACAGTCTCTGAAACTTGGCTTCTGGTTTTCCTGGTCATTTCTGGGGTGCAGGGGTGTCTGACAGCAACACCCCCACCCCCCCTTCAAGTGGGACCCCAAACTTTCCCTTAGCACTGTGTGGGCAAGCTCGGTGTTCGTGCAGTCGCCACTCACTGGTGTTTTAGCCTCCCTGTGACTTCCCACAATAAAATCCCAGGCAAGTCAGCTATTCCTGTGGCAACTCTGGCTGGAGGAGCCCACCTGGATGTGGTTTGAGACTGGTTGTACCCCTGAGGTCCCCAAGGGGGAGAGGGCAGAGAGTAGGGGGACACATGAAAAGTGGAGGAAGGCCACTCCTGCCTCTCCTGGGACACCTGCAGGTGTCCATCATCTGCCTCAAACAGAACAGTTCAGGCAGGGGAAGGTTTATTTTCCTTTCCCCGCTAATTGCCAGAATCAACCACATCAAAGAAATCCCTTCCCACAGGGAAACTCCCTCCTGAAGACTCATCCCCGGGAGCTGCGTTTTAGCCCTGTGGGAACGAGGAAACCCTCCTGGTTATCCCAGAATCAGCATCTCAAGCCTTTGGAAGGAGTTTACTGAAGTGCTGGCCCTGCCACTGGAGGTTCAGAGCTGGAGACAGGGTTGGAGAACCCCCTCATTTCTCTCCTCGGGGCAGCTGTGAGCACCCCATGCAGGGCCTCAGCTTCACCCACACCTGTAATAACACCCTTGGGGGATTTTCTGCTACTCTTGGTGGGAGAAGTTTTGCAATCTTCCCTCTCCAGAACCGTTCCAAACTTCCTGGGGCATCACAAGACTTTTGGGTGAGGTTAGAGAGGTTGCAGTGACTTCAAGCACTAACTTCGTGCTACCTCTTCTGACGGGCAAAAATCGGGATCCTCGCTGGCAGGAGACATTAAAAGACCACTTGAGAATATGCAGTGAAGCCAAAACCTCTTTTGCAGGTGGGTTTCAGTGTCCTGGGGCTTTTATTGCAATGGCACCAGCTCAGAGTCAAAATATGGAGCTGGAAATAAAGCCATAAAATCCAACCACTCACACACGCGGGAGCTCTTGAGAACTGCAAAGTTTTATTGTCTTTGGACAAGCACCAGAAAATCAAGGCAGGGAACAGGCCCCCCAGGCTGGAAGTCACAGCACCAGAGGTTCTGCTCAGCTGGGAGAGCAGGACAGAGAAGTCCCCTGGGGGAAAGGAGCCAGGAATAACTTAAATTCTTAAATTTAACAGAGGAAGAAATGTGAGGTTCGTTCGTAGCTTGGACTTTCCGGGGTCCATCGTGCAGCCACTACTACTTGTGTTTAGTCTGAGGTGGCCAGGAGATGGGCTGGGTCTGCTGCTGCATGGACATCCCCCCAGAGCTGGAGGAGCCCCCTCCACCACCTCCTCCTCCTCCGCTAATAATGATGGGACCCTGGCCCTGGTGGCCTCCACCACCTCCACCACCACCTCCACCACCTCCTCCTCCGCTAATTATGATGGGCCCTTGGCCCTGGTGGCCTCCACCACCTCCTCCTCCTCCTCCTCCTCCACTTCCACCCCCAATGCAGATGGGCCCTTGGCCCTGGTGGCCTCCACCACCACCACCACCACCTCCACCTCCACCACCACCACTAATAATGATGGGCCCTTGGCCCTGGTGGCCTCCACCACCTCCACCTCCTCCTCCTCCTCCACTTCCACCCCCAACGCAGATGGGACCTTGGCCCTGGTGGCCTCCACCACCACCTCCACCACCTCCTCCTCCGCTAATAACGATGGGACCTTGGCTTTGTTGACCTGAACCACCTCCACCTCCACCTCCCCCAATGCAGATGGGACCCTGGCCTTGGTGGCCTGAACCACCCCCACCACCTCCTCCGCCACCCCCACCACCGCTGCTGCCTCCCCCAACAACGATAATGCCTTTGCCCTGCTGGCAGGACCCACCTCCTCCTCCTCCTCCACCACCTCCACCACCGCTGCTGCCTCCACCAACAACGATAATGCCTTTGCCTTGCTGGCCTGACCCACCTCCTCCTCCTCCTCCACCACCTCCGCTTCCTCCACCAACACAGATGGGACCTTGGCTTTGCTGCCCTCCTCCTCCTCCTCCTCCTCCTCCCATGCTGCCACTCGGGATGCAGATGGGCATGTGGCTCTGGTGGCCACCTCCTCCTCCTCCTCCTCCTCCTCCTCCTCCACTAA